GGAAACAAGGTCGTGAGCACTTGGATATAATATTAAAAATATAATATTTCGACTTCATTTGATATCTCGTAATGACCTCGAAAATTGAGACAAAAATAAGAAAAATCATTTATATATTTTAAAATCGTCTTACTTCGACGAATGCTATCTTCTTGTTCAAACAACTTTTATTAATTCATAAGTATGAAGATCGCAATAATCATCAATTAATGCATAGATAAAAAATAAAAAAATTAAACTAATAAATTATTGCAAAAAAAAAAGTTGAACAAAAAATGTCAAAATAAAAAAAAGAAAACTTAAAACTGAAGGGCTGTCTGCGTTGACAGCCCTTCCAATAAAGAAAAAAAAATAAAAAAAAAATAAAACTTTGGCTTTTGTGTGTCAGCCAAAGCAAAAAATTGATTTTTGGTCTCCTGCGCGCATGGCTTTGGCTGATACACAAAGCAAAAAATTGATTTTTGGTCTCCTGCGCGCAGGATAGCCCTGCGCGCAGCACGCAGGAGACCAAAATTGATGTTACTAATTATTCAGATATTCTTTCTTGAAATATGTATTTGGAGACGTTTAAGAGAGAAATGTATACCCAAATCTACTTTGGCAAGACTAGCAGCAAGAGAAGAAGAAAAATGAATAATAAAAGAGCAAAATCTTGTAATAATCCAAAATATAATCTATCAAGTTTTGCAGGCATCACATATAGTTCAACTGCCCCATATAACTCTCTGAAAGCCCTTGTCGTTACTCGAGAACACTATTTTAGCCCCTGTTTGACCTCCTTTATTTCAATTTTATTTTCTATATAATCATTTGAGCCCTTGTCATTACCCGAGAACACCACCTCACAGAGACACGGAGACAACCCGCGTCTCCGTGCTTAATTGTGACTGGTTGTGACCAATGTTGTGTTGATTGTGACTTGAGATTGACCTCGTCACAGACAATCACACTCAACATAAATTTGGTCACAGTTAGTCACATTGAATACACACTTGGTCGCAATTAGTCACATACAGTCACACTGAACACAAATTTTTTTTTTTCCAGTAATTTTTTTAGGAGGTGGAGGCATGAGTGAGGTGGTGGTAGGTGGATCCATGGGTTGGAGGTGTGATTTTCAATTTTTAATTTTTTGGAAATTTTGAAATCGCCGGAGCGACCATCGGAGTGATCGTCGAAATAATCGCCGAAGAAGTCGCTGGGCCGTTGTCGGAGCAGGTGCCAGAGATGGAGGGAAGGTGGTGTTGTGGGGTGGGTGAGGTGTCATGGGGTGTAAATAATTCATATATATTATATTATAATTTAATATTTAATAAATCTATT